CGGACCCGTCCGAGAGCCTTTCCGGACACGTTCGCTCGATGGCCTAGCTGGCGGCCGATATTCGACAACCAAAGCTCCGGACGCCGCGGCCAAAGATCCGCGCACAGTCCCAGGGCTCGTGGTGAGTGTGGGGTGTGCCTCACGAGGCGGAGAGGCCGCGTGAACTCCCGTAGAAGCTCGCGAAGTGCGGATTTGGAGCGCCGCGCGCCGGACCTCCGCCGGGGCCCGCCGGGGCCACGGGAGAGGTCAGAAATCGTTTTGGGGGGTAGACTACTACAAACCGGTCACGGTCCCGTCCAGTTCAGTCCCTTGGCCGGCCCTGGGCCGCTCGGCACCGCGCGGGGGTGCCGTTAAGCGACCCTACGGATTTTCAGTGGTCGATTTTGGCCAAAAAGCCCAATGTGTGATCCTCCCCCTCCGGCTCGGCCCCCGTCCCGCGCAGCCTTGCTCGGAGGGCTAGGCGCTAGCGGCTAGACTCGCACCTCCGAGCAGGGGGTTGGAACGTATTTAATAAATTCGCGCGGCCATGGAAAGCTTCCGACCCCCTGCCTCCGAGCGGCGCAGCTGCCGCGCGCGCGCCTCGGCCGTCAGCGGCGGGCTCGAGCAAGCGCCGGCCGGGAGGGAGAGCGGCAGCAAGGCATAGGGGCGGCAAGGCCGAAGACGGGCCGCACCCCCCCTCACCCACACACACACACACCCACACATACCCTCCTCCGCCGGCGGCTGCGCAGCCCATCTCCACAGCTCCCAGTCCGTCGGCGCCGGGAGGCAGCGGCCGCAGCAAAGGAGCAAACCGCCAAAGTGTGGCGCCGGCAGAACCCGCGGCCGCCACAGTCAAGCGAGAACAGACAGCGCGGCGTCGTGTGCCTCGGCGTTGATGCCCTCCTTGGGGCGCGTGGCGCGAATCTCGAGGCCGTCGCCAGCGTCGCGCGCCAACCGGTCGCTCTCCAACGGTTCAGCAAACAGCCGCTGTCGCCGGCCCACTACGTAGCGCCCGGCGCGCGCCTCGGCCTCGCCGCTCCTCGCCGCCGCCCCACAGACGGCGCGCCCCACCTCGCCGCCGCCTTGGCGGCACCATCGACTCGCCGCAGCACGAAGCAGTTCGAGAGAGACCGCACCCGGCTCGCCTCTCTAGGACTGATCCTCCCGCTCCGCCCCTGGCTCCGCCTCCCCGCTCTCCGCTGGCAGCTCCGACCCATACCGCTGGCGCAAGAGATTGGAGCGCCTTCGACCCTCGCCTACCCGCTGGCTC